ACAGATCATGGCTTTAATTCCTCCCATCAGTTAAGAGTATATGACGACGCGTCCACAGATCATGGCTTTAATTCCTCCCATCAGTTAAGAGTATATGACGATGTGTCCACATATCATGGTTTTAATTCCTACCATCAGTTAAGAGTATATGACGACGCGTCCACAGATCCACAGATCATGGTTTTAATTCCTTCCATCAGTTAAGAGCATATGACGATGTGTCAACAGATCATGGTTTTAATTCCTCCCATCAGTTAAGAGTATATGACGATGTGTCAACAGATCATGGTTTTAATTCCTTCCATCAGTTAAGAGGATATGACGATGTGTCCACAAATCATGGTTTTAATTCCTCCCATCAGTTAAGAGTTTATGACGATGTGTCCACAGATCATGGTTTTAATTCCTTCCATCAGTTAAGAGTATATGACGACGTGTCCACAGATCAAAGTTTTAATTCCTCAAATCAGTTAAAGAGTATATGACGACGTATCCTTATATCATGATGAAAAGCTAAAGTGTTATCTCACTGGAATGTCATTTGAGAAATTTTGATGATAAAAATAAAGCATCACTTTACTTTTTTCTGTACCATAACAGACAGACAATTACTGCATACCACTGCCTGTAACAGCGGAATGTGGTGTACATTGCATCTGCATACCACTGCCTGTAACAGCGGAATGTGGAGTACATTGTATCATTATAATATGTTTACAGATTGACGCCTTTATGACAAACAGCGGTTTTGCTGACCGATATTATCGTTGTTTAATCGACAATATTGCGTAAGTATGAAACTTTGTCTACTACAGTTTTATCTACTGCGCTAGATTGTATCATCCCACTTCGACACGCAGAATTCAAAATCAACTTACCATATTCACATATTTTCTGAACTTTGAGTGTCGTTATCATCAAACTAATATTTATTTGAAGCACACATACTTCCAAGGAAATTTCCGTATCTGATATTTAAAAACGGAAATGCTGATATTTCTGCTTAACATAAGGACTATAATTCGAGTTCGTAAATATCTATTATGTGATGTTATGATATATGCAGCCATGTTGATGTCGCTATACTTGTAATTGAAATATTAACCGAGTCGATTGAACTTCTCTGTAGTTTGATATGTGTAGCCTAGTCGAAGATTGAATTATATCAACGTTAAAATGTAGACTGGAATTAATGTGATATTTATTGAAACATCACATGATATGTCATATTCCTTGATTCTTAGCAGAAACCAGTGGAATAGCAAAGCATATCTCAATAATGGTTTTCAATCAATCCACTAAACTTTCAAAAACACGTGGCATTAGAACTGATAAGGAACCACATAAGACTAGGAAGAGAACAACTGATCGCCGATTGTCCACCAAACTAGTAGCATGCATGCAACGCTAATTCCACAATTGAAAAAAAAAATGTTTGAGAGGTTATTCGTTTGGATAAAAATAGATATTCTTTATATGAATAGCAAATAATAGCTAATGTTAATAAGAGAGAAAGATATGTATTTGAAAATGCTGATATGGGAAAATCATTAACCCAGTATAATTAATGACAAATGCATTTCAAATTAAAACTATACAGGAATACGAAACCGGCGACTCTGTCCTTTAAGCTAATATTTAATGGAACAGAAGGAATTCCTGACGAAACGCTGAGGTCAACTCTGAACACCAGCGCTCAGCACATCACGGTCGCTGGACAGGACACTCTTTACATTGGAAGCAACGTTTTCTCGTTTGGAGATGTCCAGAACATTGCAGTAAACATCTCAGACTATCTCACTACGACCATCCCATCCACAACTGTCATGTCTGGTAAGTAGCTCAGGCCAGTCGTATTTGGTACGGATAGTTGCATAGAGCGTACTTCAATAGAACGGACTAAAGTAGTATAGTAAACAGATGGTTACACAGAACGTACTATAATAGAACGGACTATAGTAGTATGGGGTACGGAAAGCAACACTACAGTAGAGCAGGCCAGTCGAACGAGGTATGAATAGTAGCATGGAAAGTACAAGAACTAGAACTATGAGCCAAAGGCTAACTAATACCCGCGCTCCCTTATAAACCAGAACTGTAAGTCAAAGGCTTACTTGTTGCCCCCGCTCCCATATCAACTAGAACTGTAAGCTAAAGGCTAACTAAGGCAAAGTATTACCAAGCAATCTATACTTCCCTACCAGTAATGATTTTGTTATTAACTGAGCTGTACACTTAGTTTAGTATATAGGTCAAGTGACATACTTCTTGTATTCCCCGTGCAAAAACATACTTGCATACCAAATCTGGCTAGTCCATATGAACCAGCATAAGCTATGCCCCAAAAAAACCATTTTCGGAAGGCTAAGGTGAAAGGTAAAGCAACAGATCACAGTTACCCACTTTCTAGTTCCCCACCGGTTCCCTGGGGGAGGGGCGCTATATGTTTGCTCTCCGTCCGTCCTTCCGCTTTTTCGGCCTTCCGTCCAAGAAGATTGTCCGGGTCATATCTTCTATCCTTTTTTACCTCAAGTAATGCAGATTTGGTGTACAATGACATCTTGGGATGGCGGAGTGCAGAATGCAAGAAGATCACTATGACCTCACTGTGACATTTGCTTTGATCTTTACTGTTGAAAACGTTTGTCCGGGGCATATCTTCTATACTATTTCACCTGGAGTAACCATATTTGGTTAACAAGGACATTTGGGATGGCGGAGGCAGAGTTCAAGAATTAGGTATCTGTGACCCTTGACTTTACTTTAATAAATGTTTGTCGGGGGCATATCTTCTGTACTATTTCACCTCGAGTAAACATTTTTGGTGTAGAAGGACTTCTTGGGATGGCGGAGTGCCGAGTACAAGAATTAGTTGGTCATTGTAACCTATGACTTGACATTCGACCTCAACTTTTGAAAAAGTTTGTCCGGGCCATATCCTCTATACTATTTCACCTCGAACCCAAAAAATACACCAGACTGGACAGGTAACGTACATGTACAAACAAATCACCAGACTGGACAGGTATTGTACAAACAATACACCAGACTGGACAGGTAACGTACAAACAATACACAAGACTGGACAGGTAACGTACAAACAATACACCAGACTGGACAGGTAACGTACATGTTTTATCAATACACCAGACTGGACAGGTAACGTACATGTACAAACAATACACCTGACTGGATATGTAACGTACAAACAATACACCAGACTGGACAGGTAACGTACAAACAATACACCACACTGGACAGGTAACGTACGAACAATACACCACACTGGACAGGAAACGTACAAACAATACACCAGACTGGACAGGTAACGTACAAATAATCTATCAGAGTAGTCGTGCGATGTAAGCTAGTTGTGATGTCTTCGAAATGTAACAAGTCACCATTGTACTTTTTGTTTTTGTTCCAGTAAATATCCTATTAAACGTCACATTCACCGTGCTGAACTTGAACTACACAAGAGATCTTGCTGACCCGTCCTCGACCGCCTTCTTGAATATAGAAACACCTTTCTGTCATTTTGTAAGTCACCATTTGCAATGCTCGACATATTAAATTCCGTCATCCATTTTGTAACTAGCAAGTTGCAGTTTTTGATAAAGAGACCTCCTTGAGTGACTTTGTAAGACAATGTGCAATTTGAACATGTTGGTTGTCATCATTATGTGCAAGGTTCATACATACACAGAGTATAAAGCTGTCCTGAAACACTGCTATGATGTACGGCTTACAATACTATCATAGTTTTTAGCTTTACCGATGACGATGTAAGATATGTTGAAGATTTATAAAATCAATTCCTACTCCTGTTTAAGCATACTTGCCCCAGTTATACAATTCGTCCTTACCAAACACAACATTTTTGTCATACTCAGATATATTTAGTAGATATATAGCAATGGAATAGTCCGCTGCAACTTCAATACTTGACTTAAATTTCTTTGAGATTGTATCTGTAACTGCAATCGCACAACAACTATCTATTTTGCAGTTTGACAAGTTATGTGAGAACAGATATCCAGATCAGAAGTATGATGGATGTAGAATAAACTATTTCACGTAAGTTTTTACTCTGTTACTTATACAAATTTTACCACAGTGAGTGTAATTCTTGATACATGTATCATTAATTTTTTCTCGTCAGTATTTATTCTGTAACGTATAGACATTTTCATCAACGTTAGTATTAATCCCGAACCTTGGGATAGGTTGTGTCACATGTTAATGCTATTAGTTTGGAGTCAATGATATTGGATTTCCTATTATAAAAAGGCTTTTAGTCATTATCTTTCAAGGCTTTTGAAAGTCGATTTATATCTAAGCTATGCTGTAGACTTTTATGTGATATCAATATTGGACTTTTGATCATATTAAACAGTTGATATTTCGCCTTAAGTGTTAACTATTTTACTACTATACTGAACAAAAAAAGAAACGCACTATTAAATTATGCAATCAATAGCCTATGCTATTTTTTTTTTTTTTTTGGGGGGGGGGGGACTTTGTGCGTTTCTTTTTTTGTTTAGTATATATCGGTCTTGTATCGAGCGAAGCGGCTTTGAAATTTGTTAGAAAAGAAACATTGATTCATAAGTCATTTTTGCTTCGTCCTTCTTCCGGTCATTGTAAAATCGCTATCATTTCTATGATCTTACATGTCTACAGTTATAATATGTATCTGGACAAAACATTAATTCAGTAATGTGACATATAAAAGGCCTTATTCCTATTAACAGAAGCTATACTAAATCTATCAGACAATATGTTTAGCTATAACATACTATATAAATATGACATTCAGTAGCAGGTTCGCCTCGGGTGACAATGTTTTTTTCGAGGGTTGACAATATTCACTGTCACCTGCTAATGAATGTCATATCTATTTTGTTACACCGAAAGTCTTTGTAGCTCAGAAACGGCAGCAAACCTCGATAATGACATCTTGTTTGTTAATGATAGTCTGATGTTTACAATCGCTATCGCACCGGCGTTTGATAAAATTGGCTGTTGCCGTCAAACGTTCTTGTGACCATCATGGTGGGGAAACGAAGCGGTGAACGCACATTTTTTGCGCATGTGATATTTCTCAGTCTCATGGCAATATCAACCATGCCCCTTAAAACCAATGTATTTTCGGAGTGTGACAGAGATTTTTGTTTAATTTTCTCCAAACCAATCAAAAAGCTAGAAATTCACTTGAGGTGTAACAATGTGAATGTAACTACAAATAAAGCAATATAATATTTATTGGGTACACAAAGGTGCGAGAAATCAGAGGCCATTACGGACGAATGTGCGTAAAAACCTTGCGTTTAATAATTAACGTCATAGAAAATCAAACTCTCAATATCTTTGAAGTTCATCGTGCAGTGTTATTCCGCGCTCGATGAGTGTTTATTGATATGTAAGAAATACAAAAAGAGGCCCAGAAGAAGGGTTTTACAAAAAAAACCTTTTGGGCCCCGTCCCTCTACCCCTAGAGGGGCCGCGCCCTCATTTGAAATATCAATGCAGTCTCCTTTGCCCAAGGATTTGCTACACAAAAGTTTGTTCAAATTCTTATGTTCATGTGGAATATGAAATATTGTCAATGGTTGCTTTACACAATATATTGCTTAAATATTTCCAATCGTCCGGACCGAATTTGACGGACAGACGCCACGCCATGGCATAATCTAGCGAACAAGTCTGTTTTATATTATAAAATAAGAAATATTTATATCAAATTTTGTACTTGAGTGTTTATTGCAGCATCCCTTTTTCTTTTATTATCAGAACGAATCCAGATAGGGTAAATTTTGACCTATCATTTAATGGGGTACCTGACCCGGTAATAAGGAACAACACCTTCATGGCGCTGATTGAAAACGCACCCCGACGGGACCTCAACAAGCAAATCGCGATTATGGTCGGACCCTTAGCAATATTTGAACAGACGTTGATCACGGGAGGCTGATGGAGTTTAGGATTAGAGGTACATGTTAGCTAAAGTATATTGCAAAATTTATAAACGATTTCCTTGAAACGCCTGCCTCTCTTGTAATTTATAATCTTAACATCACGACTGTATGTATAACAACGTTATCTTTGATCTCAGAATTATGTTGTTATTTCACCTAGCACTATCGTCTCTGACGTACTAACCTGTGATATTGTTTAGGCTAGCACTAACGTATCCAGGATAGTGTTCTGAACATTGGTTTGAAATGTAACGATGTCCTTTCTTGGTGTACATTGTTATTACAGATATTGTTGTCCTTTTTAGGTGTACAATGTTATTACAGGTAGTGTTGTCCTTGCTTGGTGTACATTGTTATTACAGATATTGTTGTCCTTTTTAGGTGTACAATGTTATTGCAGGTAGTGTTGTCCTTTCTTGGTGTGCATTGCTATTACAGGTAGTGTTGTCCTTTCTTGGTGTGCATTATTATTACATGAAGTGTTGTCCTGTCTAGATGTACATTGTTGGTGTACATTGTTATTACAGGTAGTGTTGTCCTTTCTTGGTGTACATTGTTATTACATGTATTGTTGTCCTTTCTTGGTGTACATTGCTATTACAGGTAGTGTTGTCCTTTCTTGGTGTGCATTATTAGTACATAAAGTGTTGTCCTTTCTTGGTGTACATTGTTATTACAGGTAGTGTTGTCCTTTCGTGGTGTACATTGTTATTACAGGTAGTGTTGTCGTTTCTTGGTGTACATTGTTATTACAGGTAGTGTTGTACTTTCTTGGTGTACATTGTTGTACAGGTAGTGTTGTCCTTTCTTGGTGTACATTGCTATTACAGGTAGTGTTGTCCTTCCTTGGTGTACATTGTTATTACAGGTAGTGTTGTCCTTTCTTGGTGTACATTGTTATTACAGGTAGTGTTGTCCTTTCTAGGTGTACATTGCTATTACAGGTAGTGTTGTCATTTCTTGGTGTACATTGTTAGTGTACATTGTTATTACAGGTAGTGTTGTCCTTTCTTGGTTTACATTGTTATTACAGGTACTGTTGTCCTTTCTAGGTGTACATTGTTATTACAGGTAGTGTTGTCCTTTCTTGGTGTACATTGTTATTACATGTAGTGTTGTCCTTTCTTGTTGTACATTGTTATTACAGGTAGTGTTGTCCTTTTTTGGTGCACATTGTTATTACAGATAGTGTTGTCCTTTCTTGGTGTACATTGTTATTACAGGTAGTGTTGTCCTTTCTTGGTGTACATTGTTATAACAGGTACTGTTGTCCTTTCTTGGTGTGCATTGTTATTACAGGTAGTGTTGTCCTGTCTTGGTGTCCATTGTTATTACAGGTAGTGTTGTCCTTTCTTGGTGTGCATTGTTATTACAGGTAGAGTTGTCCTTTCTTGGTGTCCATTGTTATTACAGGTAGTGTTGTCTTTTCTTGGTTTGCATTGCTATTACAGGTAGTGTTGTCTTTTCTTGGTTTGCATTGTTATTACAGGTAGAGTTGTCCTTTCTTGGTGTCCATTGTTATTGCAGGTAGTGTTGTCTTTTCTTGGTTTGCATTGCTATTACAGGTAGTGTTGTCTTTTATTGGTTTACATTGTTATTACAGGTACTGTTGTCCTTTCTAGGTGTACATTGTTATTACAGGCAGTGTTGTCCTTTCTTGGTGTACATTGTTATTACAGGTAGTGTTGTCCTTTCGTGGTGTACATTGTTATTACAGGTAGTGTTGTCTTTTCTTGGTGTACATTGTTATTAGAGGTAGTGTTGTCCTTTCTTGGTGTCCATTGCTATTACAGGTAGTGTTGTCATTTCTTGATGCATGATTTTTTGTCAAAGCCAACACTGTTTGTTCTAGAAACACTTTATAAAAGCTAGCATCGTTCTCTCTGGATAGTTGATGTCAGGGAAAATCAGGCATTTTCCCCAGGGTGTATAGCGTTATGTGATCATGTTAAACCTTCCACTGCCGTCTCAATATGTACAGTGTTATTGAAACTAGTACTGTTCCTTTTGGGTATAAGTAATTTTCTAATCTCCTAGAGGTTAAGGGGGGAAATGCTAGGTCTGCTGTGTTGTGTCTCATTGCATGTTATCGGAAGAGGAGGCGACTTATGTGACCTGTGGCCCACCTGCTGATTCGAGGGTTTCCACTTTGTTTTGCTTAGTGAACATCAAAGAAGTTAAATGTTTCTGTTGCCCAACACAATACACTTCCCTACTCTTTCGTTTCGGCGTTATCGCCCTTGGCGTCCTCATATGACCTTAGCGGTTGTTAGTATGTTAAATGCTCGCAATGGTTTGATTAGGTTAGGTTAAAGCTAAGCTAGCACGGTGTTCTTCGCGTGTATCTTGTTACTATACTTAGGATTTTCCTCACTCGATGTCTGTTGTGTATATGGTGATACAAGATCTAGCGCTGAACACGTTGGGAGTCCGGTCAGCACTTCCCTCTTTGGATGAAGGGCGTTAAAGTATTACGTTAACACTATTTCGTGCTTTGTTGGATGTATGAAGAGATATATGGGTTGACAATTATTCAGCCAGCATCGTCATATTTCGTAAAGCTTAAACTAGCACTGCCTTTTTTAAACAAACTTTACTATTTCAAAATCAGCACTTTCCTATCTGAATGTACGGCATGGTAAAGGCTAGTAATGTTGTTTTTTCTAGATTTGTAATGTCTTTAATGCCAGCATTGGATGTTTGATATAAGTGTTTATGAAGAGGGTTTTCAGATGTTTTTGTTTTACAATTAATACCATTTCTGTTATGTTTTAGTGACGTGATGCACAACTCTCGAGCAGTATCGTCCTTTTTCTGAGACACTGTCTTGTGTTTTGTTGGAGATGACGGCATGATCTTTGGACTAGAAAACATGGATTATGCTTAGGTTATTGTTACATTTGATGGTACGGATGTTTCTTTTGTGGTGACATTCAAAGTTGACGGCGATATCATGGTCGGGATGTAGTCCGTGTTGATACTGCGAGATACAGGTACCTAGCGGACCGTACATATCTTTGTTGTTATGGATAAGTGATACGCTACCATCAGTTTATCTTTTGGAATGTTCCTTACGTTAGTCCACCGATCAATGTAAATTGTCGACGTATATCAATATCTCCCACATATATACATGTCAAAGTGTTTTATGGCAGTCTGATGATGCAGTAGCTGATTATGTATATATAACGAAACTTGATGAAGCGGTTGTGATATTCTGAGTGACATTTCTCGTGATCTACTTGATCCTTTATGGAGAATCACCACTGTCATGTTGACATTTCTCGTGCTCTGCTTGATCCTTTATGTAGAATCACCACTGTCATGTTGAACTCCTATCGCGAGAAGCGTGGGTGAGAAGTTGTATTTCTGCGCGGGATGCTTGATATAGCAGTTTAGTTATTTAAGAGGACATACTTTGATGTTAACCGAGAATGAATAGCTTTCTGACAATTTCGGGACATTCAAACTCCATATTTATTTAATATAATTTATAGAACATGTTTATTTGTCGAATCAGGTTTAGTGACCCATATTCTATATTATCACATTTGGGTTTCAATAGTGTACATCTAAGTACACTTATGCATATATTTGAACTCGGAAGTAGACACAAAGAATTGATTGTAACTTTAATTATGCCCTGATCATTTCTCTCGGGACTTTTTTTTGATTATTTTTATGTTTAGTATCTTTATCGATTTAATGTGAATTAAGTGCTTGTGAATGCGTCTTACGTTTAAATATCCTAGTGCTACTGACTTGGTAGAATGTTTGAATATGTGCTTTGTTTACAGTGTGACGGGTGATTTGTGTTGCGGTCATATTTTGGCTGATAAGCATATAAGAATAAGACTGAGCATTTCTACTAAAGAAGTGCTTCAAACCATTCAGAGGAGAAACCACGAAATCATCAAAGCGCGTTTCTTACAATTGCACATAAAGCAATGAGCGAAATCAAACTTGTATCTGTTATCTCCTACCACCAGGTAACAATAGTGGAGGCGGTAGTTTTAAAACAATTGCATATATAATTGATTAAATGTAGGAAACATTAGAACAAGATATGTTTATATTTTTCATGTTGTTGGCAGTGGAAAGAGATGTTTATAAATAAACATTTTAATGTTGTGATACTTGTTTTCCTGTCTTTTGATTGTTTCTATTGATAATCTTTTTTGAATACATAAGTTAATTGAACCTTACATTTTCAAAAGTCATTTTTATCTGATATATAAAATGTAGTAGAGAACTGAGAAATCGTCGATATCTTGTCTACCTGATGTTAAGTGGACAATATATGCATCGTCAATATCCTGTCTACATAATGTTTAGCGGACAAGATATGAATCGTCAATCTCCTGTCTACATGATGTTTAGTGGACAAAATATGAATCGTCAATGTCCTGTCTACATGATGTTTAGTGGACAAGATATGAATCTTAAATCTCCTGTCTACATGATGTTTAGTGCACAAGATATGAATCTGCAATGCCCTGTCTACATGATGTTCAGCGGACAAGATATGAATCGTCAATGTCCTGTCTACATTATGTTAAGTGGACAAGATATAAAGTCAATGTCCTGTCTACATGCTGTTAAGTGGACAATATATAAATCGTCAATGTCCTGTCTACATGATGTTAAGTGGACAAGATATAAAGTCAATGTCCTGTCTACATGATGTT